CATTAACTGAACTTTTGCACAGTCTAGGCTGGTCAGCACAGACCCTCCACTGTGCCTCTCTTACCATACTGTGTCTGAACTGGGACTCTTTACAGTGGACATAGAAAGCTCTAGAGTTTTCTGAAAAGCTGCTTTCTCTTTTCCTGCCCTGTATAATTAGGATAAAAAAGGAAAACTGGGTGTGGGAAGGTTACATCAAATGGATACACTGTGTTTTTTTATTTTATACTTGCAGACATCTCTCTATGAGCATCTGTTAGGCTTATCTATCCTCCTGTGAACTACCTTATATTTATAAACAACTTAGCAGTGGAAAAATATAAGCCGTTCAAATCCACTCTATGTCTATTAGGCCTCCTGTGTTCTTATCCAAAATCTATGTATAGCTATAATCAGGGTGTATCTGCAATTTATCTCAATGTTTTACACATAATTTTTATCTTGTTTTTTCTGGGACTGTATTTGTGTATTTAATCTTAAAATGTGAAAGAAACAGAGTTTCAATTATTGTTGTACATTCATACTATTTGATATTTTGCATCAACTACTTAGATTCAGAATTTAGGAAGTTATTCTTTGTTAATTAATTCAATTTGGGGGGTGTATCATATGTGAAGATGCATTTACCCATGTATGCTCATGCAGAGATCAATGTCAGAAGCATGCCTTTATCACTTTCCATCTCTCTCACTAAGTATAGAACTTACAACTCTGGCTAAACTGGCAGGCCAGCAAGCCCCTGGGATTTGCCTCTCTCTACTCTTCAACCCAAGTTGAGATTAAAGATGTACAGTGTCATGCCCATCTTTTCTGTGGGTGCTAGGGATGCAAACTCAGGTCTTCATGCTTGTGCAGCGAATGATTCACCAACTGAGCCATCTCCCCAGTCCTGAAGTTATTCATTTGATGAAGACAATGATGACGATGATGAAAATGATATCTACTCTCAAGTATATAATTGTATATAAAACAGTACGATTAACTTATGTGCATTTCTTGTGAAGGAAGGCTCCTAATGTTTCAAACCTGTCTACATTGGATTCTGAGTTCTCAAAAGAGAATTTATAATAAGTTTACTTAGTTAAATATTACTATATAATAGATTTTTAAAATATTCTGATAGCTTAAACCACATAACAAGCAGCTAAAATAAAGAAGTATGTTTAAGGGCATGGCCACTAGTAGATTGCCCATGCTCCAGTGGATAACCCTACACCTGTGCACATACAGGTCGCATTGACTGGATGAAATGAGATTTAAAAAGAAGACATTGTGTTACTGGGTTCCAGGGGGAGCTGAAGGGGTAGATGTGGATAGATATGATCATAATACATTACATACATGAATGAAATTCTCAAACAATACATTTTTAAAAAGGAAAAGCAGCATACTAACTAGTGATTCAAATTTTTAAAGTAGATATGTATTTAAATAAAAATTATCTCACATTAATTTGTACAGCAGAGCAAATGAAGTCACATAAAGATTAGAATCCAATCTAATCCTGTTAGAAGGACCAACAGCCTGGGTACGTGGAACCATTTGTCTCTGTGCTTCACTGTGAGGTTCATCAATAGGATATCATTTCCAAAGTCACTCAGGCAAACTTTCTGACAGATCACTAGGAATACTTTTTTAATGTGTATGTGAGTATTTATATGCCACATCTGTGTGTGGGTGCTCACAGAGGCCAGAAGAGGGTGTTAGAACCTTTGGAGCTGGTGTTACAGGTAGTTGTGAGTTGCTCAATGTAGGTTCTGGAAACCAAATTCAAGTCCTCTACAAAAGCGGGAAGTGCTCTTAACAGCTGAGCCATCTCTCCAGCCTACCATGGATACTTTTATCGTGGTTTGGGTATGAATTTGGAGGCTCAGGCACCTACAAAGCTAGTACTGTGGTCTTGAAGTATGGAACAGAAGGAATCATGTCATTAAAGAGAAGTTTGCTGCTTTATGATACAACTGCAGCAGCTTCTTGCCTGACCTAGAGATGGAAGACCTGCTAGAAAGGAGGAGCTTTGATCTAATCAAGAAATATAAGAAACTCCTTAAAGAGATTTTAGCTTCTGTTATTTCAGTTCTTCAGTAAGTTCTTAGCATCTGATCCAAAATCTTGTCCTCTTTGCTTTCAGACTCATATTATGACAAAGTTACTACTTTATAACTCAACTTACTCATGATGGAAGCATCGATTGAGACAGACCAGTACTTACTGTATAATAATTTATTCAACTACATATATAAAGCACACAATTAAGTACCCCATAAATACCAGGTTTTTTTAATTACATTTGTTGACTATGTCCATGGTGCCAATTCTTTTTCCTGCACAAGTACTTCATGACAGAGAATCTTTTAGAGTACATCTGTCTAAAGAAACTTGCTCATTCATCATAATTAATCTTTATCAGAAAATCTACCACAAAGTTTTTGATAATGGATATTATAATTTTTTTTCTTTTGTCTTTTTGAGACAGGGTCTCCCTGTAGCCCCAGCTGTCCTGCAACTCACTATGTAGACCAGGCTGGCCTTGAACTCACAGAGATCTGCCTGCCTCTGCCTCCCAAGTGCTGGGATTAAAGGCATGTGCCACCACACCCAACAGGATATTGTATTTTATAAGCACACAAAGAGATATGAAGACAGCAAAGAAACAACCAGCTTTCATACATTTAATTGCTCTTCAAACCCTTAAAGAAGAAAGCATATTTCATATGAAACTACTATAGTCCAACAAATTTTACCTTCTCTATGCGTCAGCAGATAATTAGGTCACTAAGATCTTGAAAAATAGCTGCTGTTGTTATAAGATCTGTCTGTGTTATCTCAGAAAAAAATGTAGATGTCTTTGATGAGATGCTGTTCACAGATACATTTTTGTTGGTCCATTTATGCCTATGAGGATAATACGGGATGGAGTGTAGGCCTGGGTGCCACAGGGGAACTTTCTGCTGCTACTGGTTCTGCCCTGGTCTGGCTAACTCTTCCTCATTCCCCATGGAATACAGTGGGGATTCTGTTATGAGGTCTGGCAAGAAACATCATTTGAGAAAGCTATAAGAAGCTTTGCTGTTTATAAAGCCCAGGGCTCTTTAAAAATATGAATCTCTACTTCCCAGACAGTTCTGTATCTTTTATATGTATAAAAAAAACACTCTTAAAAGGTTTCTCGCCAGCCTAATTCATAGCTACTTTATAACCCTGAAAATGTTTTGATGTTTGGTTGAATATGGTTGGGTACATAATGAAAATAAAATTTGGTTTCTCCACACTACTACCATAAAACAGCTAACTATAAACAGCATTTTACATTAATAATATATTACATTTAGAAAGCATATTATGTGATATATGTACAGTATATTTCATTGCATGCTTAAAATATTCATGCACAGAGAAAAATAGGGCATCTACCACAGTGTTTATAGTGTTATTCTAGGAAGTGTGGTTATGGGTATATTATTCTTCTTTGTTTTCTTTTCTGCATTTTGTGAGCATTGAATAATAAAATTATTTTGAAAAAAAGGAAAATATTTAAGGTTGGTTAAGACGTTTAGCAATTGAAAAAATTGGAATCTATTGAGTATAAGTTAAAAGAGTAAATTATGAAGTTTAATATGCTAGCTACTGCCCTCAACTTGTTATTTTAAGTTATAGTTAACTGATTAGTTCTTTGGTTATGCCAAACATAGACTTTCTACCACAGCCATATTTCACCATCACAAAAAGTTCTAATCCACATTCAGGTAGAAAGTAGATGACCAAACTATGTTCTAGTCCCAAGAATGGAAGCTGAGCCCATGTTCAGTGACACTAGAATAGACACCTGCCCCTCACCACAGGCCTTGACTCCTTGTCAGCAGCCATTCTGACTTGCTCATTAACCTGTGGCCATCCAGCTAGCTAGGATGGAGCAAAAACAAGTTCCTATGCACAACTCATGTCTCCATGTCATGATTGCCAGCTTCTCCAGAAGACTCATACTTCTCTAACCACATCCAGCTCAGCAGTTCAATATAACCCTCAGATGGTTTTTGAGAGTACCCTACGTGTTATATATGAGAATCAGCCTTAATCTACTAAACAAAATAAGAGAAATGCCTTTATCTCTCTAAGGAGCACTGAAGAGCCAAAACAGAAGGACAACTGGGGTAGAACAATAGTACAAAGTATGAATAGGTCTGTTCTTGTGAAATCCAGAAATATTCCACAGACAGTTACATTTGAATTGTGTTTGTAGTCTGTGTAACCCAATTCATGAATCATCACTTCTTCAGTGTTCTCGTTTTTCCCCGTATTTCCGAAGAAGGGAGGTTGTGGCAGGTACTTTTCTATCACTGTAACCAAGGGGACAGAGGATTTGTTTCAGCTCTCAATTTCAGAGGGATTTCAGTCTATGATAGTGGGGAAGGCATGTTAGTGGATGCAGATTTCTCCATAGCTGCAGCAACATGAGACTGCTTATTCATATCATGCAGGCAGGAAGCAGAGTACTCCAGCCAGAACAGAAGCAGCTGTAACTCTCAGAAGTCCCTTGCAAGTTACCTACTTCTAGCACACCTGCCTTACTTCCTAAAGGCTCCACCGTGCCAAAATCTTGGGCCCAGTTGTTTAAAACATGATTCTCTGGAGGATATTTCAGATTCAATCCATAACAGATTCAATCCAAACCTCATTTTCAAAATGCATTTGATCCCTAACCAAATATTGTTTTATTTCGCATGAAATAATTACATATGTTCAATTAACTCTTTGCATTTGAACTAATTTTCTTGTTTTCAGGCTACTCTGTACATGTAAAGCAATCTTAAATCTTCAGATGAAATAAAGGATTTTATCATTTTAAGATTTAGTAATTCATCTTATTTTAACCACATAAAGTTCTTAAAATGTAAGTTAACAGTTGTTTTTTCAGCCAGATGTTTATAAAATGTTTGAATCTAGGTTAATAACCAGGAGGTCCTTGTTCCCAAATAAATAGCACCTTTGTATTTTAACAGATGCAATGCTCCTGGTGGCAGAGCGACTGGAAGGGCCGTTCAACATTGAGTCAGTCATGGACCCCATAGATGTCAAAATTTCTGAAGCCATTATGAACATGCAAGAAAACAGCATGCAGGTGTCTGCAAAGGTATTTGCATTAATAATGTATTTTCTAATGTATGTACATAATGCAGGTGCAGTAACCTAAAAATGGAGTAATGAGATATGTGGATTGTGATTATAAATTTTAATATGATACCAGTGAGATTTTCCTGTTGTGCTACAAATTTGCTCCTTCATTTAAAATGTATAACAAAATGGCATTGAAAAGGAAAGCAAGTTTTTAGTTCACAGCTACTCAATCATGACAAAATTATTGGCTGCCTGAAAGTTTCTGTGAGCCTCAAGTATGCTAACTAAATCCTCACATGTGTGAGTAATTTGGGAGGAATTTTCTTTTTCAGTGTTTGAAATTTCTGTACACCTTCACCTTGTCCTCTTTCTAGAAACTTCTATTTAAGGCATCAGTCATGTAGACTAGGCATGTGTTCTATACATTCAGTAATTAAACAGCACCTCTGACTTCCTTTGAAGATGACTGCATGAACTTCACGAATGCCTCTTCAGGGGAAAAGGTCTTTTGTGTAGAGTCAAGCACACACTGGAAGGCACAAAGCAGCCCAGTTTTACAAATCACCAGACAGAGCTCCTGGGTTTGTAGCTGTAGAAAACAAATACCAGGCGCCCAGTTTGTGCTTGTACCCACTCAGCTGAAGACAAGCAGGACCTGCCTTAAGCAACTAGAAGGAGTCTGCAGTGGGGTCTCCAGCCTAGTCTTTCACACCTCACCACCACATTGAGTGCACAAAACCCCTCTGTTCTCTTTCCCAGTCTCCCCACCATGAAGTAATAACCACGTCTATCTTGGTCCTTTAAACCTGGCAGAGTGATTGCATTAGAATTGAAAGTCATTCCCACTGAAATATGTCAGGCAAAGAGTTACAGGATTAACTTTCTTCAGATTTCAAAATGCTTTGTGAAGGAGATTTCAAATAGAATCAAGGAGGAGGGAAAAAATGGCCGAGCACAGAAAAAGAGAGTCATGGAAGTTCACCAGGTCTCTTTGGCTGAGCATGAATCAAACCATAGCTGGGCTTCTAAGGGTAAACTGGAAGAAAGTAGGGTAAGAAAGAAAGACACTGGCTCGTGGTTCCTTCTCTCTCTGGGAGATGGCTGAGCCAAGAGTTTGATGGGCCTGTTCCAAGGCTTTTATGAGCCTAGGGTACCAGGTAGGGCAGGATGCTCCAAATTACCATCAACTGTTGAGGAAATGGCACATTTGGGGCTTCCATGAAAGGCCATTTTCTTTCTTTACTGAGCAAAGAGAAAATAGTGATCATCCATTCTTTCAAATCTATGACCTAGAAATCAATTAGAGTTGTTCTGAGTGGCCTCATAACCCAGCGGAGCTGGAGTAATTGGGGGCTAGGTTTGTGAAGTTAAAAAGAGCTCCAGAGAAGAGGAAACAAAAAATATGGGAACAAAAGTATCTGCGGCCTGAGACCACCACACACTTCTTGGCAGCCGCTGCTCGTTTCCTTTGGTGCATGCTCATGTTCAAGTCAAGCGTTTCCTCTCTTTATCCATCCATTCAGTAAACATTTGTTGAGACTCCACATGACAGACATGGTTCTAGGTACTGGGAATATCGAAGTGGACCAAGCTTAACTCTTATACTCCATCAAACACAGTTTTCAATAGAAAGAAAGATACAGAGCAGATGAACAGGCTATAAGCAAAAACCAGTATGATGCCAGACAATGACAAGTGATACAAAAAAACTCCTCATCCTCCAACCACTGGACATATTTTGAAAGGAAGTTTAAACTACCTTTTTTTCAAGAAACTTTGAAAGAAATTCTTCTAAAGCCAATTGCTTCCTAATTGGTCTTCTGAAAGAAGAAACCCTTCAAATTTGTCCTTCATTTAGTACCCCAAGTATGCAACACATGAACAAGGTCAAATCCTCCTGCTTTGCCTTTAGCAGCTCCCGTTATGCCAAGAATGGAATCCACACCCATCTTAGCTCTTGAGTCTCCTGATCTCTGCCTGCCTGTGACCTTGCCTTCTTGCAAATACACCCTGTGCTCAGTGTACACTTCTGTGGCGTTTGTCTGAGCTTCTTGTAGCTTCCTCTGACTGTAACACTCTTCCCTTCTGTCCCCTTTCAGTAGATCCCTGATGATTCCTTGTCACAGGAGTCTATCACAGCATCTATTGTAGACTGAGAATATATACCCATTTGGTACTTGCTCCCTAACTTTTTTCTCCCGACTTCTTAAGTCATTAGGGGGCCAGGATCACTTCTGAGACTCTATATATTTAGAAACTAGCTCAGGGTTGGACATGTGGAAACTGTAGGCAAATGCTCATGCAATTAATTTTTAAAAGAAGGCAGGAAGGCAGGAAAGCATGCAGGAAGGAAGGCAGGAAGGCAGGAAGGCAGGAAGGCAGGAAGGCAGGAAGGCAGGAAGGCAGGAAGGCTGATCTCTGGTCTCCACACACAAACAGATGTGCACTCGTACCCACATATACACACAAAACATATGTGCATCCCACACTATGTTAAAATAAAAAAGGAAGGAAGGAAGGAAGGAAGGAAGGAAGGAAAGAAGGAAGGAAGGAAATTCACCAGTAAGTAAATTACAAAGAACTTTCAATAAATCAACCAAATCCAAAGAGTGGGCTACCTACACTATATTATTTTACAATATGTACATATTTTTATTTTAAAAATAAAGATTGTATTTATAGTATACAATATGACATTTTGAAATGTGTCTACATGGTGGAAAGGCTAAATCAAGCTAATTAGCATATGCATTGCATTTCACATGCCATTTTTTGTGTGCTGAGAACACTTAAAATCTACTCTTGTAGCTAATTTCAGGCATGCAGTACATTATTATTAAGTGTAATTCAAATGAATTATCTACCAAAAATTCTCTAAGAGGTCAATGAAATGGACTTTTTATCAACAGAATGTAGATGAGACATTTTTATGGAATTTAACTGTATTATAATAGTACTGCTGTTACTAAGAAATATTTTTTTAAATGACACATTTTTGTGAGAAATGATGAAATCAAGAGGAACTATACTATAGGCTCTGCAAGGTTACACTCACTTATGGACATACAGTAGGACAGATCAAGAAGCAATTGTGTAATAAATGGACTGGCAGTAAAAGAGTGTATCTGGTAAGCTTGACCTTGAGAAAAAGGGATGAAGAAAGTCCTGGAAGAGAAGAGGGGGAGGCAATAGCTAGTCTTTCAAAAAAGAGGGACAGTGACCAAGTGACTAAGTGACAGTGACCAAGTGACAGGATTGAACAAGAGCCAAAACCAGTTCTAAATATCATAAAAAAGAAAAGATGGCTAGAATTTGGATAAATTTAACAGGAAACACCACGAGGATTTGCTGGTCTGAGATGGTGTTTTATTTCCTCAAAGGGGTCAGATTGTCCTTTAAACTTAGAACTCTGTGGCTTCTTACTCTACATGAGCCACATTCACAAAGTTACAGGTGAACTGGAGCCCAAAATGTACATTGTAGCGAAGAACCAGATTTTATCCTTTATTTTTTTCAAATACAGTCCTCCGCCACTGCTGATGAGCAGTTTCATCAGATGTGAAGTTCTACATTCCCACACTGAGACCATACTAAACAATCCACACCATCAAATACCATTGACACCTAATAGATTAGGCTCAGGGGAGGCCAGGAGCTAGTTCTTTCTACTCCAGGATATGACTGGCAGCTTCTCCTTTAAATATCATTTATTTTATTAAAGCAGTTGCTGATGGAGGTCATTCATTGAGCCTCATGCAGGAAAGCAATATTAGTATCTGCCGACTCATACTTGTTGAACATCTACTGCTGAGGACAGTACTAAGTGATTTCTTTGACCTGTGCTATGCAGTATTTGAAATGATGCTGGGATGAGATGGACATTCCCCCCAGTTTAGTGATAAACCAAGACTTGGGCTGGGGTGATGGCCCAATGGGTAAAGTGCTTGCTGTGCAAACGTGAAAACCTGAGTTTGGATCCCCAACACACATGAAAATCAAGAGTGGCAGCACGTGTCTGTGGTCCCAGCACTGTGTAAGCATAGACAGGCGGATGGATCCTGGGGACCTTCTGAACAGGCAGTCTATCTGAAATGGTAATCTCCAGGATCCGTGAGACCCTGAATCAACAAATAAGGTGGCCATAGAGAAAGATAACAGGAATCAACTTCTAGCCTACACACACACACACACACACACACACACACACTCATATGTAAGTACATCCACAAACATACATGCATGCACACTCAAAATACAGAGAGAGAGAGAGAGAGAGAGAGAGAGAGAGAGAGAGAGACTAAGACTTAGAAAAGTTAAAACTTACTAAGATCTTGTGTGCAAAGGTTAGGAAAGTGTCTGACTACATAGCCTGTCCTCTTAATCACTACTTTATAATGATATTGGTGTCCACAGACTCAATCTCAACAACAGTGAAATTTGCTGAGTAGACTGAATATTAAGAGAAAGTTTGATGACCTTCAAGAAAAATTGCAAAATAAAAGGAAATAGAGAGGGCAGCTACATAAGACCTCAAGCCACTTTCTGTCTGATTCACTGTACAGTTATACTCAGTGCTACCCAAGAAGACAGATGCTAGTTGCACAATTCTCTTACCCAGCATACTCATTCATTTCCTCCAAAATTTCCTAGAGTCTTAATAGTTTAATATGTGTAATAGTTTTTTATATAACATAATATTATACCTTTTGTCCCTCTGTATCTGAATGTAAAACGTAAACATAGGCTAAGGAGCTGAACAGAGAATTCTCAAAAGAAGAAATAAAGATGGCTAAGAAGCATCTTAAAAGGTGTTCAACATCATTAGCAATTAGGGAAAGTCAAATTAAAACTGCTTTAAGATCAAGAGAAAAAAAATGATACGAAATGTTGGAGAGGATGTGGGGAAAGAGGAACAGTCATCCACTGCTGGTGGGGCTGCAAACTGGTTCAAACCCTATGGAAAGCAGTGTGGAGAACTCTTAAAAAACTACTAATGAACT